CTCAGACCCGCACCCCCGGATAGGACCCCCGCGGCAAGCCGCCAGCGTCCAGCTCAGACCCGCACCCCCGGATAGGACCCCCGCGGCAAGCCGCCAGCGTCCAGCGAAACGTCTGAGGGGAACTCTGTTGATACTGGAGCCATCCGCCAGCGGATCTGCTCACACACTGTTGTCCAGCTCTGCCATTTTTAGATTTCAGCGTTCAGTCTATGAGCCGTCTGTCTTATAAAGAGGCGGTAACATGCCCAGAAATACACCGCCACCGAACATTTACATAGCAGGGCAATTAACACCACAGTGCGCAGCACCCAACTTAAATCTCCTCTGTATCCATCTGTGAAAACTCCACATATCCAACTTTATATGCTAATAAGATAAAGGATAAAAATACTAGAAAAAAAAAATTATTGAGAAAAAATACAGCAATCTCCCTAATGTCACTGAAGTCAAATGAATGCAGCTAATGATGATATCTGTATATGTACAAAAGCACATGTAGTTATGTGTAAGTACAACTTAGCCAACCAGCTCTTATGCTTTGGAATCAAATAACCTTTATGCAGGTTTTTGTGGATGTTGTTTTTTTTTGCTTTATTCCAGAATGAAATATATACAGAATAGTAAAGGAGTATTCCATTCATTGTTGTACCTCCCTTTGGGAAATCAATCACTAATGTCAGAGCAGTATAGACCACACACATATTTACACGTGTATGCACGTAGTCTAGGGAGGTCATTCGTCATGGAAGAATGGGAGGTAAGTTTATCTTTGGTCTGAAGACCTAGCAGTTCAGTCTGGATGTCACCGGATCTGAAAATCATAAATTTGGGGAATGAAGTATAGGCAGTGCCACTCAATAAACATTTTGGGAGACAGTCACATCCGTCGCGACAAGCCGTAATTTTTCTCTGTGGTTTGTTGTTGATTTCCAGTCACAAGTTATGAAACACATTTTTGAAACCCCAGCAGCTTGTGTTTCTAATAACAGTCAATACACAGAGTGTACAGGCCAGGCTCAGATCTAATCTAAGGCTACAATGCTGTACCTTTCCTAAGCGGAATGGATTGGAAAGCAGTAAGAAGTATGAGGACTGGAGATCTGCACACCGACTGAGCGGCTGGCAGCTGTACGGCACGACAGAGTGAAGGAAATGGGTCAATTTAAACTAGGAGTCCTGTTCCAAAAAAGGAGCCTTAGTGGAGCTGGAGAAAATTCCCCTGCTCCCTGTGCTAAAAAGCTGCATGTTGAGTATCTGGGGGGGGGGGGTATCCTTAGAATTTGCAGGCAGTGAGATGGAAAAGGCTGTCAGTTGGGAATCAATGGTTGTGCTTGTTGAAGGTCTGTGGTTGATATTGCATTTGTGAACCGGCAAGTATGCTTCCTTGAAGGACACCTATGCTGTACTGTTTTCTCTGCAGCTGGCTGTGGTCTGTAGTCTCAGACCTCTCTGCATCCCAGGGGCCCTGAATGATCAGGGGGTTCCCAGCCTGCATCCCAGGGGCCCTGAATGATCAGGGGGTTCCCAGTCTGTATCCCAGGGGCCCAGAGTGATCAGGGGGTTCCCAGCCTGTATCCCAGGGACCCAATGTGATCAGGGGATTCCCAGTCTGTATCCCAGGGGCCCAGAGTGATCAGAGGGTTCCCAGCCTGTATCCCAGGGACCCAGTGTGATCAGGAGGTTCCCAGTCTGTATCCCAGGGGCCCAGAGTGATCAGGGGGTTCCCAGGCTGCAACCGATGTCAATCTGTTCATTAAAGTGAAAGCTTGCCAGTTGGTTGTTCTCCTGATGTGACTGCTTTTGTTTGACACAGCGTCACATTCTCTTTGATCTGTATAGTTAATTGTAGTATCATTTTGGGGAGTGCAGGCAGAAGAGGGACCTATGGAAAGCATAGCCTAGGGACCTCTGGTCACGTTAATCTGCCACTGATCGTAGGGATCCCCAAACACCTTTGACCCACCCAGTAGAGCACTGCTGGAGTTTATGCAGAATCCACTAAAACACACACTCATGTTCATACACACAGGTTAACAGCCCTGCAATCACACACACACACACACACACAACCGTGAGGGTAACCCAATCAGTGAGGTTGATCAGGTGAGCTTTGGTGTTACTTCTTACTTGGAAGGTTATTAGTCAGGAGGTTTAACAGGGTAAATTCACACAGCCTTATCCAATGACATTCCTCCGCTCCCACCAGGGCTAAGCCGGAGATCAAGGGGCTTGACGCAGGGAGCGGCAGTCAGGCCAGTGACTGGCCTGGAGCTATATTAACAGTCACCCTCTGGCTTCATGGCTGCAGCTCCGCTTGGTACAAATTCGCCACTGAATTTCTTGGAGGAGCTGAAAGCAGATTGCAGACCAAACACTCAACCATGTGTACAGACACACATATCCCATCATGCACGGCGAGTCTTTCTTGATATGGACCCAAAGCATAGTAAATGTATTTCATACCCCAAGACCTGAACACTTCAGTACCTGGTAAAAGAGGCTGCTATTCAAATACTTTCATAAACAAAGACAGTAAAAGCCAATGCTCTGTGCGGGTCTATCAAACTGAGTTACCAGCATCTGTTGTCTAATTCTTATTAATTGCTTGATGCTTTTTAAATATAAACTATAGTTATGAGAGTTTCTCCAAGTTATAGACAAGTTGTAAGAATTTCTCTGAAATAAATGCGGAATGTACATTTTCTTCAGCATGAATATGTTGTGTCCCACCATGTAGATCAGCACTGGAGTCGACCGTCCCTCTGCATCTGCAGTGCAGTAAAATGAGCAGTGATCCTGGAGTAGGACACTGCTTACCACCGCGGCCCTCAGGGACCGTCCATGTTCTGCTCCCTCCCAGCTGCACTGCACCCTCCACCTGCTGGGCTACATTCAGCTCTTGATAAGTCTGGCTGAAGTTGTAGGACTACAGGTTCAGTCCAAGGACTGTTGATTTCATACTTCATGTGACTTGGTATCATACTAACGGGAAGTTCCGGATTCACGTCATCATTACCCAACACGTCAATTAGCATCCATGCGTAATCAGATATTAACTATGCCGGCCCACTTGGCAATATACTTCTTTTCCAACCGAGTAAACAGACTGGAAATCACCACCTCTGTCATATTTACATTAAGAAATTCAAACAACAGCCAAATAATTCTTCCATCCATTTTCCTATAACTGCTTATCCTCTGCGGATTTTTTTTCAGCCAGTTTTCCCAGGAAGCACAGGGGACAAAGGAAGTGACACAGTCCCTCATATTCACTCACATGTAGTTTAGAGAGAGCAAATGATTTTAGACTGAGAGGGGAAACCAGGAAAGCTGGAGCAAAGGGATGCAGTCAAGCCGAGAAGAGGGACTGACCCCACAGCCCCTGAGGTCTGAGCCCAAAGTGCTGCCCACTCAGCTCACACATCACTAAACATCACACCATGAGAATATGCAAGGAGAGTTCATTTCGCTCTTGAGGCTTAGATACAGTTTAGTGCTCTGGTTTCTGGTCTAACAAATTCCGAATAATAGTTCATTACCAGTTGAGCTGATGGGCTGCCCTGACCATTCTCATTACGATTGGGTTGGGGCAGCATTAAAATTAAATTAAGAAACCGATGACGTGCTGAAAGAAATCTAAAAAAATTTATTAGTTTGGCGCCGTGAGCATCAGTAAAATTTGTGGCAAGTTCTGAGCTGAAATGTTTGGCAATTTTGGTTTTCTCCAAATGACCAGAAACACAAATGCAATACACAATGTAAACACGCTTATCAGCAATCAGAAAAAACGAACAAAAAAAAAAACAGAAAAAGGAACTGTCAATTTTAAAAACTAAATAAAGCTAGAACATGTAAAGAAACCAGTACTCTAAAATATTTTTATGTTTAATAAACACCTTTAGAAATAATTGTTATTAGTTCAAATTTCCTTAAAATTGACTAAACATGACTAAAACGAATTTTTAAAAATGCCATTCAGCAAAAAAAGGAAAAAAGGCATCTCAGTTGTGTCATATATTTATCTAAAACATGACTAACAAACAAAACTGCATGTGACTGATTCGATTCTCATCATGATTCAAACTTGATCAGAAATTCCCAATTCCTTTTTATACTCAATGCTCTTTTGGTGGGTGTTGTAAATGATACCTCCATTGGACATACGTGTATCAGGTTTTCATTTTGGTTGCACAAAAAATGTCTTTTTTTTTATTCGGTAAAGCACATCTACGAGGAAGCTACTACGTCGTAAAGGGGATTCGCAATTTAATCCTCAAGAATGAAGTTACTGTATATGCCTATTGGCAGTCCATGTGAAAACCCATTTCCAGCCTCCCCAATTTTATTATGTACTGGTGCATTATACAAAGTCAAATGCCTGTTTAGTTTACCGCAAGAACCAGACAGAATAACTGTTGACATACAGCATGTGCCTTTCCCTGACCCCCTGACCTTGAATACTGCTATAAACAGCATTCCTACCCTCAATGGCTGGCAATTCTTACCACCAACACCTTCTACTGACTTTCCCACTCAAACCACTGCTCTCTGCTATTCTTTCCCGCCCTGAATATGTCCAGGCACGATTCATTTGGTGATCGTAGCTCAACCTGCAAATGGACCCTGGAGCCTGGAGGTGAATATCTGAAATATCTGTGCATTGAAAATACATTTTAGTTCAAATCAATGGATTGAAAATAGCACTCCATCGCTATTATATACAGAACATAAGCTGACCTCTTATTATGTCCACAATAAACGTGCGACGAGCAGTGAGCTATATTTACTCGCGATGTAAAATGAACCTGTCACTATTAAACTAAAATTTTGTATTAAGGATATAGATATTGTATTACGCGATGGAAGATACTTTCTATATTCATCCCTGTTTACTAAATGATGGTGTCATTGAGACGGTTTCACATTAAATGGACATGCAAGATAAAACCGCTCCGTCTTTCTTGACAAAGACGTGTTTAACAGATCCATTGATTATTAAAAGATAATTGTGTTCATAAAGGGAACTGGACGTTTTGCGGAAAATAATTTATTTAGAAATTAGACCGTCAAAACATTATTTTGCGGCATTATAATTCCCACGCGTTTGCATATAATGTATTTCTGCAGTACATGAAGTCACAAAACCCGTTCTCTTTCAAGTCTACTATGTACTTGTCCACTGTTAAGTTCTTGCAAGATCTGATCGGGTAGCAGCTAAAGAGTCTATCGGTCAGGTCTGTCTGATCGCAGTAGGGCTCTGGGATCTTGCCTCCCCGCGTCACTGGCCTGTTCCCCATAACCTGCGTCTTGAGAGCACTTCAGTGCAAAGCGCTCTCTGTACCGATCACTTTCTCTTCTCCCTTTTTGAAGAGTACTCCGGAGTTACGTCAGACTCAGACAAAAAAAGTGCAGGGCAAGCAAGTGAGTCGCTAAGGAGCCGTACGTATTCATTTCTGCTAAACCCGGGTAAGAAAGCTGACTGCTCAACGATCAATGCCATTTAAAAGCAAAACTTATATGCCAACATGTGGTAAGTCATCTCTTTTGTGCAACTTTCAGCAGAGGGGATGTTGGCTCTCTTTTTTTCACATGACAGGTCAATGTATATGTCATAAATGCGCGTGAATAACGGGATTCATAAACGACTCCCTCTCTCACCGTTAAATTACATGTCATGGTGAAATATCTGATATTTCTAATTCACAGACGTCTCCCCGATTTTTAAAAAAATTCAATTAATTATTTTTGCTAATCTCAAAACAAAATGCCTCACACTCGGAACAGGAACCCTAGTCCCATCCCAGAAGTAACATGGGACACGGGACTGAAGGAAATGAACGAAACTTGGAAGGGCGCGATCGCCTGCTTCGGGGTAGCGATCTTCTTTGTTATGACTATCGGGATCATTTATTGGCAAGTTGTGGATCAACCCAATAAAAACTGGATCCTAAGGGGGAGTTTCAGCGGAATGATCTGGGAGAGAAGGAGTAACTCTCTTGTCATACAAACAGCGTCAGAGGACAAGACCTTCGTGGAGATCTACGTGGGGGACATGGGGACCCCCGACAATGACGTTCCGTTTGTCAGAAATTTGTGCTGGTATAACAAGACCGAGTTCTGTTACACGTGGGATTCGGTGGCAGACTTAAAGGTATCGGTGGAATCGGACGAGGAGTCGGAGATGGAATGCTACAGAATTACCTGGATACCTCTGCATTGCCATGTGGAATTAAAGGTATGTCACTCCATTCGCTCCGTGAGTTAAAAATAAACTGTAAATTATGAAGTTTGTTCTCAAACACGCGCCGGTGTTTTTCACTGTTGTATCATTTGAAGTATGTAGTTCACGTTCAAACATTTGTTTTAATTAACTACGTGAAAAATTGTAGTTTAAAAATAACTTGTAACCCAGCGCTGGATAAATATTGGACAGAACCCACATTGGGTTATTAAAACCTAGCACCTTAGGTTGTATAAGTTATCCAGTGGGTTAGGTTACTTGAATTATCCAAATTTAGCTTGATCTTGCACAGCTGTTTTTCAACTTTAATGCTGTCTTATTTTAGTGTAATTCTATTAATGCTAATTCCTCTGCTCTCTCGCTCTCTGTCTCATTTTTTAAATTTAAAAGTCGGACAAGAACCACTTAAACCATTACGTCATAATCGTTTGTGTTTGGTAGTGATAAACGAGTTCGTGCTATTGATGACAATTTCTCTACTATGAATATGACAGATTTTCTTATGACGTCATTTGTACAAATAAAAAAGCTGGTTATATAAATAAAAACTAGGGAAACAAAGAGAACGTGAATCTCTTTGCAGGGAAATAATTTCTGGTACTTAAGATCCTATTTCGTACTTTTTATTCTGCTGTTGTGCTGGTCCCTCCTCATTAGACCGTCTTTTAAAAATGAACACAGACTAATGTATGTTAAAGAATATGTGTCTTAGTACATTCGTACTAAGTACCGGTAATTGCTGTGTACGCTGATACAGGATGGAGATAAAGGGTATTATTCGGCGTAATAAAACAGCTGATGGTGTTGTTTGCTTTGTGCTATAACTCGGTAATCCAAAACCCAGACCAAACATTTTTCTTCAGCTGGGTTGTGGAGAAAGGGCGCCTTTTGTTTCCCATTTCTATTTGCCTGTGTTGTCTTTGGTTATGCAAACTGACTCGTCCTGAGAATATATTGTCCACTTCTAATTTAACAGGTAAACAGATTTTAATTAGGTTGCCAACGGCACAAACGCTATCTGTGGTAACTTAAGCGTAGTCAAAAAAGTGCATGGGCTGGATATAGAATGAAGATATATAAACATTTCACGATTTAAATATATACCGTTTAACTGATTCAAAATATGCCACATGCTCTTCGAGTGAACTTTAAGTAGCCTACATTAAGAGAGTGGTTAAAGTGGTCAGTAGATTCAATGCCGTTATTTTGACAAGTCCCCTTGAATTTTGCACATTCAGGTATGCATACCTCTGGAAAAAAGTGCAAGACTTTCAAAACAAAATCCCTCCAAAGGGTCATTAAAAATACCTCGACCATGACCTGTTCTGGTTTTACACAGAACTAGCAAGAATATTGTAGACAACAGAAAGGTTCGGTCATTAAAATGTTCCTGAAGTTGTAGACTGTGGTAACAACACAGATGTTTCCGAATAAATAACGTTTTGATTCATAACGCATAACCCAAAAACTGAACAATTCGCCCATGTTGTCTATCTGCCCTCGAGCAGTCGAGCATATTTTGTGTGTTGATAGAGACTGAAGAAACGCTTTTAAATGATCAAGCAGACTTTGCTCTGGAGATGTCATATATTTAGATTCAGCAAATGTCCTGCTACATCAGTAATACAGGTAACGCCTTGGCAACCACAAGGTTTCGTCTGTTGGCGTTTGTCTTATTTGCCAAATACAACTGACATTCTCAGAAAGAAAAATCTTTTTAAAAAACTATAAGTTTTAATACTACAGTACCTGTGAATTGTAGGACGAATGTTACGATAAATGTTAATTTAAATAATAAAAAATTAAGCATTTACTCTAGTACATTTTAAATTAAGTAAGGCTCCTTTATACAGAACCTTGGACGCAACGAGCGTTTTAACTTCAATCAATTTACAGTCAATCCAAAAAGTAGCAATTCGGATGTTTTGAAAGTTAATCCTTCTGTTTTGTACATTCCTGAAATGATTATAGGTCATGTGTTACTTTCAACTCAACTTTTGCTGCAGTTTCCATTCCTTAATAACAGTAAAAACGAAAGAAAGAATTCGTACTAATATATAGCCAGAAGTAATATCTAAACAGTAAAATCGAGATTACTTTATGAAAGAATGATTACTTTTTAAAAACGCATTAGGCTTTAAAATCATATGTAAATTATGCGTCGATTATAATAAAGGAATTGTGAATTCTGTGTTAATTGGTAGGAATTACAATATGCCTACTGCATATAGGAGTTCAGGAAATTAATATAACGAAATGGCATGAGTGTGTTTCAGTCGTATTTTTAGTCTTATGACCTCGTATTTAAAAACAACATGTATATCCAATGACTTTTTAAAATATCGGGGTAGATTCATTTCAACATACATCAATCCATCAATCAATTCGTTTTTCAAAAACAAAATTGAAAACGTTGTCGTTCTGACGATAAACGCGATTTATTCTCCGTTTTTTCGCCAGTTTGGCATATTTAAGTAAATGCTTAGCTCACTAATTAACGCGGACAAATAAATACGTCTGCTACTCTTCTCTTATTTATATTCTCTTTTAATTGTCATGGGCTTAGTGGCTATTGGCACAACACATATAAACCCAGTATTATCAATCTCTCTGTGTATCTGAAAACCCAAACTTCAAGACGCATACTAAATTAAACAAAGTTAACCGTACGAAACATTATGAGATCTGTATAACGAGTTGCATAAGAGGTATTGCATTTCCTATGTTTCAGGACTGCTTCTCCATGGCTAATGTCTCCTGGTATGGCGGAGCAGGCGTACATGCACAGAGCTGGCCGATAAATGCGGTGAACGTGTCCATGCAGCCTTTCACCGTGAGCAATTTGAAAGACAATCCCTTAGGTTACGGATCGGTTCTGGAGCGTTACTTCTTGGGCTCTACAGGTAAGGCTTTCCCATCGGGAATCACACTGCTTGTGTATCTGCAGGTGTGCTGGTACGTGTGCGCTGGTGCACGATTTCTTCCTAGCCTCAACAGCTCGGCGAGCACGTCCGGTACATAAATAGAACTAAACGGTGTTAGTAGCCTCAGCATATTAGGGATTAAGCGACACATGACAGCAAGCCGTAGACGATTTATCGTAAACCCCATCTGAGTTCCATTGTCATTTCCATTTACATGTCTAATAAAGGCAGCGTGAAAACAAAACAAATTACAGAGCTTGCTATTTTAATAACCTATTCGAGTATTTTGGTTGTTTCGCTAGATGGCACACAAAGGAATGCCAGTGGTTGTTTCGCGGGCGTTATAATTGCTCTCCGGACTGCAGAGCCACGGCTCCGCAGTGAGAGTCATGCTCGGCGGGGCAGCGAGCTGTCGTAGCTGGAGCCTCTGCCGCGAACTGGAGATTCACAATTTCACATACACACCCATGCCTTGGCATCAACCGCCCTTATAACGCTAGAATGGGACATTAAGAAATAGGTCTGAGAACACTGGCTACCTTAAGCATGTAGGAAAGTGTGCATATATAGCTCTGGCATAAATTAGAAGAGAAAAATTAAGAGAGTAATGGGTGTGCGTCTGTGAATCATATATATGCATGTATGTATACACATACACTGTATATATTTTTTTCAAACTCCAACCTGGCTCGTCTTTGTTTCTTATTAATGAAAGTCTACTTCCTTGCTTTATGGGGCTTCAGTCCTGCTTCTAGGAGCCTGACACAAATTGTCCTATCAGTGCACTTCACACCACTTGAAATTTCTCAGTCCTTTTGAAGGTCGATTGATGTCAACTGAAGGATAAGTTGACTGTCATCTCTGCCATTAGAGAATCACTTCTGCTCTCTACCTACATTGTTTCTGGTTTCTCCCAGTGTCTTGTGTTTCACCTTGTTCTTGTGTACTTCTGTCTTAGATATTTTAAACCTGGAACCACCCTGCCTTGTAGCTTTCTGCCAGCAGAACCAGGATTAAACCAGGATTTTTTTTTAAATATACAGTGGTCTCTTAATTTTTTCCAGAGCTGTATGTTTGTTTTCTGTGTGACAGTTTTTTACATTGAGCCAGTTATTTTAGATAATCAGACGCTGCAGAACATTTGATTATGACAGTGAGTGCAGGATGCAGTTTCTATTCTGTGCCTTAGTGAAGACAATAAATCTCCAGTGGAAATTCAATTCTCAGTTGACTGCGGTAAGCACTGACATAAGTGTGAATGTGACAGGATTGCTGATACGCTGATTGGATGGCCCATGTGCCCTCCGGGAATAGGTTCACTGTGTTGTGATTGCAGACATATCTGAGTAGGTTACACAGTCTCAAGTGTGCTCGCTCAGTGCGTCGAGGAAGCTCACCTAAGAGGAGACATTTATGTCTTTGTAGATGGATGATTTTTGGAGGGCAAAAAAATATGCAGTCTGTGCATGTGTGACAGGGGGACATCAGCCACTGGCGAGCCAAGCCTCTGGCGGCTGTACTGAGGGATTATGAGAGGCAGGATAGGGGATAAACTGAAGGGCATAATTACAATCATGTGACACAAACAAAGGCACATTGTGGTTTGCCAAGTGATTGTTTGTGCAGGCACTAATGAGTTATGCAACAGGTTTAGCTCACAGAATTGCATGTCTGCTTCCAACCTGCCAAGAAGGGACAGTCTTTTATTACTGGGACCTCAACCATTGTTGAAAGACTATTGTTGAAAGACTATTCTTTAGGTTGCCTAGGAACCACTAAGTAATCAAAATAATAATGCATAGTCTATTGCATAGTCTATATAATCTAAACTGGGAGTAAAAATGTATGTGAAGCTGAGACTTGCAGCGATGAAATTGATGATTTTCCTGGGAAGTGACTTTTTGATTTTTTTTTTCTCATTACATCATCAGTATGACCAAACCCTTTTGACACTTGTATTATGCAGGGGTCCAGGTAACAGACGGTGTAAATTAAGATTCATGAATGTCCTGTGTCGATATTGTGTGTGGTCACATCACTCAGTTAAATTGAAAATTCAGAAATACGTATGTAGTTTTCTTTTTGGGATTAATTTAAGTTGAACCTACTTGTACAAAATAGTACAATTAAGTCAAATTATGGGGTCTGCAGTAGTGGTGTATTTTTGTCTAGTGTAATTAATCTTCTGCTGATACTTACCTTGCGGCTGAAGTTTCCTTCTAACCCCTGACTTCTGATACAGCTGAATTAGCCAGGTGATTTACCCTCTCCAAAGCTCTCAGCCCACAATGACAAGCACTGGATAATGACAAGCACTGGATAATGACAAGCACTGGATAATGACAAGCACTGGAAGGACTTTCCTGTTCTCTGTGGTGTATGTCGTCTGTCTCTTTTATCATTAAAAGTAATATTGTTCAATTTCAGTAATCTAAATTGCATGGGGAAAGACTACATTCTGAAAACAAGTAGAACCAGACGAACCAGTTTGAAAGATCCCTGTTTCTTTCTATGTTTCCTTTTTTTATTTTCTCTTCATTTTTTACATGTTTTAGTTGTTTTTCCTCCGTTTCGCTGCAAGTAAAACCAGCAAAAGAATCATTAATGAAAACTACTGATTGAGTAAATGTTAATAACGGTAGGACAGAATGCAAGAACAACAGCAGACGAATTAAACAATTGCTGTCGTCTTTGACCGTGTCATGTCTGGAGAAGTGCGATGCCACTTTAGGGGTGTGACAGGGAAAATGGTTTAAGCTCATTTTGGAAATTTCTAGCATTTTCACTATGCAAAGTATCGTCGTCCCTGACGTTTGCAATCAAACCACCAGAGCATTCTGCTTTCTCCAGTTCTGCGAATGAGAACAGGCAATTTCTCTCAAGCCTCTGTTTCCTGAAAGCACGCTTCTGAAAAATTCATCAGATGTTACTCCAAGCTGCTACTGGAGCTGGGACGTAAATGTATAGATGTGCTTCTCTGATGATTGGACTCCATCTGGACTGCACTAAGATAACGGCTCTCAATATTTCCCCAAACACATTGGCAAAGCATCCACCCTAACCCCTGTACCCCCCCCTTACCTCCACAAGGAGCTCTTACAGAGGGGAACAAAGTCACCATCGTAAACACCATGTGTGATGAAGGGTCTGTCCCGTTGGATGACAACCACCATCACCTGCACCCCCTGTCCCGGCTATTTCCTGGGATATTTTTCATAAACGGGAAACGTCTGTTGGTGCACGTGCTCACGTGAGATTGATCGTCAAGTAAGATTAATCTTTTTGTGTGTTTCAGATGTTTATCACTTGATTATATAAGATAAGACGACAACAGAGGATATTAATCATTTCTTTAAAGGGCTTGTGGAAAATATTTCAGGGAAGCTGGTAGTATTTAGGGGGATTGTTCTAAAAATAACAGGCAGAGGCCCTCTTTGACTACGAAGGAACTCACCTTGGCTGTAACACAGCCTTAAATTCCCTTAAATTTCACCAAATGACAGTTATTGATCGACTCCTGGACAGATTCCTGTATATCACATGCTCCCCTCTGAGCACTGTCCAAGCTTTTGATGACTATTAGCACGCTAACCTTTGCCCTGACGGGCCTGAATCGATACTATAATCAAAGCCGTGCATCAGCCACATAAGGGAAACACATTTTTAAGCTTCTTTTTTATAATTTTGCATCAGTCCCTTCAGTGTTGTCATTTTATATCAGAAAGCATTGCTTTGTGTACAACTTTGTGATTGCTAATAATATTATTACATTTACATTGTAACAAAGGAAGTCCTAGGTGTCGTGTAGTTTTGTGCATGCAGGTTACTGGTATTGTAGGTAATCATGTATGTCAGGGGTTGCCAACCTTTCTTAGACCAGGGACCACAGAATGAAACCTGAGTTAGACACCCCCTATCACCAATGCATGAGTTTATAAATAGCTAAGACCTAAGGACCCCTTGAAAACATTTCACTCTGCAGCTGTACTGTACAAGATTCAGGTCTGGACGCTTGGGACGTGTCCATACCGATATTGTGGGAGTACCGTGTTTGTTTGTTTGTTTGTTTGGGGGGGGGGGGGTTTCAGGGCTGATTTTGTCCCAACTATTATTGAAACCAAACTGACACCCTTACCACATTGCAATGATGAATAAGAAGGCAATATTGAAAAAGACATTTAAAGCCAAAAGAAAGAAATTAAAGAGTAAAGAAGAATAACATGCTGATAATTTGGTTCCTGATAACATGTTGGATACATTAGAAGATCAGCAATGAATTTTGCAGTTTTGCAAAATGCATCATGGAGCCAAAAAGAGAATAATGTTTCCTTGACTTTGAAAACAACTGTGGACCCCTTGGAATTGTTCTACTGGTGCACAATTTGTCTCAGACCCCAGGTTTAAGGCCCTTGATTTGTGATATTACATTTTTAAAAAATATGGTGCTGATTTTGGGTTAAGCTCAAGATTCTTCACCAAGAAAAAGCCCTGTTTTTCCACTTTGCCATCAGTATGCAGAGAAGTTCAGAAGGATTTATCTTCTAGGCTCTTATGTCATCTTTGTCAATTGTTACGTTATTAAATGTGGATGATTTACGTAACAAAGCTGTCATGGTTTGTTTAGGCATCCGGTGAATTTTTATTAATGGGACAAAATTACTCTGTAGTTGCAATTCCTCCACACCAAACAATCCACAGTTTCCCTTTTTGATTTGACGCTTGTAAAATAAAGACAGGCAAATTTGGATAGTTGCATAGTTTCATACTCACGGAAGATCGCTAGGTAGCAGCTTTATCATTTCCAGATTGAGGGTCTTGGCCGGGTCCTGGTTGTACTTTAGGATATTACTAATTAGAAATGACAAGGCAGCATGGGAGTGGAAGGTAGGTGGTCCCCAGTACCCACGGGGCCACTGAACTGCTGGTAAACAAGACGGCTTTGGAGAATCTGACATAACCAAGATACATGAGGATGGAAGGAATTCATGGGGGGGGGGGGGGGGCACGAACAGCTGGTGACACGATTCCCATAATCTCATAGCTCCACATGGCCACAGGGACACCATAAATACCGAAGTTGGAAAGACAGGGGACACCACAACCGCCCCCCCCCTCCACCACCACCACCCATAAACACGTTCACTCTCCTAGGAGACACACTCAAACCTCTCTCCTGGGGTGGAGCGTGCTGGACAGGCAGCTGAATGGTCATGAAAACCAAATCGATTGGATTGTTAAGAATTTTACTAGAGTTTGTTCCAGTGGGGAGCCAGCAGTGTAACGCAGGAGATCCGCTCCAGAGGTCAGCAGGAACAGACAAGTTGACTCCAGACACTGCAGGTACACTGGAGAAGAGTTAGACGATACATTCCTTTCCGAGACTTTAACTTAGAGCTTATTTTTCACAAATCTAATTCATTATCTGCTGTATTTCACCACCTGGTACCCCCAAAACAAAGAACAAAAATAAACAATAGATCTATGCTCACAAATATAAATATTGGAATCACATGTGTGGACGCACATGCACTGGGGCATCCTGCGGAGGAGTCACGATCACAGAGCACTCAGCTGGCTGGTTGAAACAAAATCTTGGCCTGGATTTGTACTTTCTGGACCTGAACTTTCCACCTTTGGCATTCTGGAGATGCATTTCCCACCTCAGTGTGCCACCACCCCCCTGACACCCCTCTGACTGCCTTTCCCTCTGCTCTCCATTGGCATGGTCTGTAAATTATGCTATTAAGACTGGAACAGAGCTGACACTGAATTAGTCATATCAGTTACAAAAAGGGCTAGGAGCCCATGGGAGGCAGAGATTGTTTCAGTCATGTTATACTTACTGCTATTCGACAGCTTAGAACACTTGCTGTGTGTCAAACTAAATATCCAGTCTTCTTATTTCTGACTCAGCATATCATTGGTCAACAACACTGTCAATTACAAGTGGTTGGATTATTGTGAAGATAGATGTGCCCGCCTCTCTCTCCAACTTTATCAGAGAAACTGAAGTCTACTCTGATTATCCCCAAGAAGCAAGACAATCAGTGTTACTTCTTGGATTGGTTTATGTAACATGACTTACTTAGCAGTGTGTATATGGCTAAAAGCTCTTTTATTGGACAATCAGTGATTGCCAACACTCCAGTGGAAGCCTTAGTCTGCCTGTTAATTATTAGACACTGCAACATATCAACCCTGCCCAAAAAAATCCTATTTGCAGATATACACAAATCAGCCATTTTTGCATTATTTATGGCTTATGGGAGCAGCAGAGTGGCTCAGTGGATAGATTGTAGATTGGGTTTGATTCCCACATCTTGCCTTGGCAGTGCTTGCATAGCCTTCCTGCGTTTGATGGTTTCCTGTCTAAAAACATCTGGCCAGGTGAATTGGTGAGTGTGTGGGAGCGACATCCCACCCAGACCATCTCCTGTCTCATTCCCGGGGCTTTCTGGGATAGTCTTACTGTGGCACTATATGAGATTAGCTCTTAGGTATGTTGGAATTATAGGACGGTGTTTTTGGACCAGCTGGAAATTCACATCTCATGCGGAAAGTTTTGCTTCGGATGGCTGGTTGATTAGAGCAATCCTGGTGCCCCCCCTTCACCCCCCACCAGAATGTTTTCTTTGCAACCCACATTACTTTCAACCTGCCGCATTTATTATATAAATCTGATTAAGGGGGGGCTTGAAAACTACTGGATTAGAGGTAGAGAGATGAGTATTTCAGTTAAAGGTAAGTTAGCCTTCATTATGCTTAAGGTCAGGTTTAAAGCTTTCACAAGCTAATATTGATCTAAATCACTGTCACCACCTACTAGGCGTAGCTGTGCTGGTCGACCCAGAGGTGTCCCTTCATGTTGGTGTTGACAGCCAACAGCAATACTGCCTAAGGACCCCACCCAATGCAGAGCAGCTACCCCTCCAGTACATGGTGTGCGTGGGCCCGAACGCCAAAGTCGTCCACCAGGAGGCAGTACGTCAGCTCTCCAACCATAAACGGGTGCTGCCCAACATGGACATATTGCGGTAAATAAGCTTCTGTCGTTCCCCTTGGTCTGCAGCAGCCCACTGCTCGCATGGCAAGCCGATCTTTCATTACACAAGTTTTGTTATTTGCATTGCAATGCATTTGTGAACAATTTATATTGAAACTGAATTCCGACTAGGCTGGGCAGGAGAACGTAACCTGCTTCATTTTTTTTGTAACGCCTCACTTAGGTCTCCCTTCTGGAAGCTGCTTGTGAACGTGGACTCAGGACGGAAGCTGGAGAGAGAGCTGAGGTCCTTCTCCAATCGTCTGAAAAGACACCATTTAGGAGAGGGGATCATTACTCTCAATGAACATTCCACATATCTACTCTCGAGCATGGTAAGTGGAAGCATTGCCTATGTTCACCTTAGTGATGCTAAAATGAGAAACTTTGAATTATCAACCCTTTAAGTCTAACAACTGAAACTGTCCACTATGCACTGAAGAATGGCCTACGGACCCATGGGAAATTAAATCTCCCACTTGTCATATCTCCCAGTCAATGACAACAAAACCTATAAATATGCTTTGCCTTTTCTAACAATCTCTTCTCGCCATCACTTTTTATGAAATGCCTATCTCAGCCTTCCTAGTAACCTTATGCTGGAAAGTAGAGCACATTCACAATTTACACACTAAGGACAATTTATTGACGCCATTGAGCTGTTTTTGGACCGTGGAAAGCGTAGCTGGAAAAAACATTCGGAGCTCAAAATGATAGCACAGAGACTGAAAATTAGCACAGCGTGTTGAAGAGCAAATCAAACGAAGAGAAAACCAAAGAATGATCTCTGCGAGGAGCCTGTCTGGCGGTGCAACGTCTAAGGGTTCCTTTCTTCGACAGCTCCGAACCCATCGCCGTTTCTGACCTTCAGTGCAGGCCTGGCGCTGTTCTCTCTCCAAACAGATTAATTTTGTGTCCGTCAGCGGGTCGGTGGCTCACACCTGTCGTGGGAGCCTCAAAGCCGTCAGCTGCACAGAGGTCTGGAAATGAGAATAAGCTGCACGGTGCTATCAGCATAAACACTTTCGTAAATATATATCAATTTTGCGGAGCTCAGCCTCGCTGCATTTGTGCACGGTTGACTTCATGACAGCTGTCTTTGTGATGTGCAATTTGTACATCATTTTGGACAAAAGTGTCTGCTAAATAAAGTAAATGTAAACATTTATAACAGTATATACAGTGTATCATTTTTGGCAATGATGTGTACAACACCTCAAAGCAGTTGGAAATGTAAACACTACTGTCAAGCACTGAAGTGAACTGTGTCACGGCGTGTTCTGCAATATGAACACTCCCTCCAGGAAGAGCAACGTGCCAGCGCCAGTATCTCCTCAATGATATGAACCCAGTCACCAGCGGGTGACAAACATCCGCATGCTGTCATCTACCATCTCAAGACAGTTAATAATGACCTGCGGGTGTCTTTCATGCGACCAGTCCTTATTCTGACTTCTTACAAGTATTATTTTACTTTATATTATTGTAGTCGCACAAGTGAGTTTCCCAAAAACCAGTGTTCTTGGTAAAACTGGACATCAGTTTTCACGTGCTGAATTGCATTTCACAACATCTTGTTGGCACATTGCAACACTATACCGTGGTCTTTGGGGCCCGGAAAAGACTGATGAGTTTTGATTCCTCAATCACAAAGCAGAAAGGACACGCCCAGGGGGTTCGATGCTATTTTGTCAAAGGATTAATATTGTAAATGAACTGACACTTGCTTGACAGGTCAGTTTAGTCTGAGAGTCTTTGCTGTGATCAACAGACTATGGCCATGAAAGAAAAAATTCATGTAAAGGAAAGTATGGAGTAAGAAGGTCCTTGGGGCCCCAAAAATCTGGAGCCGCCTTGGCTTTGGGAAGTAAAACTATTTTCAAATGGGACGTATCCTGTAGTTTGGGGATGTATAAGGTTTAGCAATATGTGATTGTATGGTTTATTTGCACATCCGAATAGTGTAACCAAATATCAGTGCTGTTTCTTAGGTTGATTATGAAGAAACTTTACCGTAGTCTGATCTCAGCGGCAAAAACCGCAATGGCAGCGTGCCTCCGACGAAACAATGAAAAATAAAAATGCAAAACTGACTCGCATCTTCGCAGCACCCGGCAGAAAGGTCAAGCGACCTCAAACAGAGATGGAAGACGGGACGTGCCAAAACCAAATACTTCAGGTGAATCCGACACCAGTTTAATGTTGTGGTCGGCCCCATGTACCATGGAGAGAAGTCAGAAGTTCACAGAGTATTAGTCCAAATGGGCTGTCTGTCAAACGATCTGGGGTTACTTTTCTTTCCACTCGGTTGCATACCAAACGGTAGATTAGTGGTGGACTCAGAGAGAGGAATCTATTCTTCTCAGCTTGACAAAGTTTTATAGTAGACAGTAACGGTAATAAGTAGCAAATTTAAACCAGTGTTTAACTCTAAACTAGCCACCAGATGTTTGATGTCTGAGCACACGCTGCAATAACTAAAAATCTCCCCGTAAACTCATAGCATGGCCAATAATTTTCTTTCCTAGTTTCCATATTAAACTTATATACTGCAGTCATGAGCGGGAACAATAACTTGGCATCAAGTATGTCAGGCTATAAATAGTTTTTCCAGATTTCTACACTCATTTATATATTTCCTATATAGCTGACATGCAAGAATATTTGAAATGATATTTAAAGAGAAAAATCTGTTTCTAAGGAAGCTGAGATTCTCTATGAAATATCTTACGTCATGCGCTCATATTACATGTGATTCCGTGTGATTGATTTTTTAATTTTCGGTTATGCTTTTGATGCTCTGCATTTTGGCCAAAAAACACACATTTATTGCACATTTTTTAAAGCATGTCACGCGACTGAGATCAACATATTGCGTAACAGATTATTGTTAGTAGGATTAGTATTGGACGGAGCGGAGATTGTGCAGTTGTCTCAGAGAACCTGGTTTCACGTCAGACGTTGGCCAGCACTTTGCTTTCGGTGAGTTGTGTGGCTCTGTGGGTCAGAACTCTGTGCCCGTAATCAGAAGGTAGCAAGCTGACTTTGGCTACGCCGGATGCCAGCCGGCCCTGCACTGTGACGGCCCAAAGCTGCTCTCGCCTGTATGTGTGTCTCGTGGAGAGTAGGATGGGCTCCTTGGAAAGACGTTGGATAAGCGGATAAGGTATCACTATTCTATGGCCTTTATTACAGGCAGTGACCAGGTCATGAGAACCGTTCCCTAAGTCTGTCTTTAAGTCAAATTTGTAGGTAAGTCAGAAAAAATAATAAATCGGTGCATAATAATAATAATAATACAGTAATGACAAAAGTAACTACATATGGTACCATATTGCACCTTGAGCCAGTAAACCTCTGAAACTGCGTGATATCTTCATGGGTGTCATAAACAGTGTGTGTTCATTATCATGAACCATTGCACTTAACACGAATGTTTAATATAACAGGCTTCATGGCAGTCCATTTGTAAGGACGAGTTTTCTGTAAATCTGACGTTCTTAACCTGGGGGTTGCCTGTATTCCATTACAGCTTATTCAGTACAGGGTTAGACATGAGCCTTCCAGGAACCGCAGAGCGCGACGAAGGGGACAGTCTGGTTGGCAAACCAGTGATATACGTACAAAATCCCCTGGCTCCCCTCAGACCCTGTGCTGCCAGAAAAACTGTCACACGCTGCAGACTCCTGAACTACCCGGCTCAGCTCCATCGGCGATGCACATTCCCTCAGCGGCTGGGTGTCGGAAATGCGATGCCCTTCGCCGTGGCCTCCCCCGTCGCTGACTTCTTGAAATGCCTTTTGCAGCAGGAGCAGGCCGAAAAGATGATGTTCAAGAGACAGACCAGGAACGTTCGTCTGGTACAGTTTCTGAACATTTCCGTCACACTCTCCCCGTTCCTGAGCGTGGACACGCCGCAGTTCCACAACTCCCTGCAGGAGGGCACTGAGGCCTACTGGCTCACCCTTCCTGTGGCCCAACACGGACGTCTGGTGAGCATGATAACCAGCCCAGGGCCCTGTCACGTTGTGTTTTGACAGGCAAAGTTCACCTTCATTGAGTTGTCTATATGGGAAACATTATGCTGGCTCTGAGAGGACCCTAGGCAAACTGTAGAAACAGGTAGTACTCAATCCATAATATCTCACACTCAAGCTTACTTGAGGTCAGATGCAAAGCAGCAGAAGTGAGTAGCGATATCTTATGGCTCTGGGCTGTAAAGATTTTGCAACTCAGTGGAAAATCCTGCCAGTGCATTGCTGTGATTGTAGAATGGGTAATTAAATCTGATGCACGATGAGTTTATAGAACATTCTGGCATCTCCACTTCCACAACTGCTAAATCTCTCATCACTCCGCTATCTGTCCGCGTCTCGCAGGTCCCCTTATTGACGCAGTGGAAAGGAAAATTCTGCGTGAAGCTGAATATCACCAACCCAGCAGCAGTCAACTGGTTTCTGAATAAGGTGGGCGGTCTGCATGCCCGACTGGGCATGGAATATGTCATCTTGGAGGGCGGGGAGGGAAACCCTTTCGAGGAACAGGCCATGCAGACACCGAAAGCTCTTGCCGGCGATGAGTACATCGGGCTGTTAGCAGGAGTCGCAGCGAAGATTGGAGACACAGCAATAGTGACGTCAGGGACAAGGTATGTTCAGATGTCCCCTGTAGTCCGTATGAATGTCCATGACTTGCTTTTCATTCATTTTTTTGCCACTTGTTTCCTCACTTTGAGGTAGAGTTTAGTCACACTTTCTCTGCTTGCTGGAGCTCGCTGTCTTCCTGCTCTCACAATGACATAACAGGCGGAAGCAGCCGTTCAAGCAGCATCCAAACAGTCAGCATTCAATTCAATATTCTTAGTCCCACAAAGCTTTAAGTCCCTAAAATTCTTAAGCAAATCCTCCATGGATTTAATCCCTTTGCCTTAAGGTTTAGAACACAGGCTTTCAGTCGCCAAGAGACACATCAAGGCTGCCGTAAGCACAAGTATTAACGGCATTGTCATTTACTTAATTTGACAAAATCAATAAGTCCATCCCGTCAACTGGAGCACTGAAGCTGCAGTCTTTAACATGGTAACATACGTGTGGTAAATATAATAAAATATTATGCATAGGTGCTATCATAGCTAATAAAAATGCTTGAATATTTAGGTTTAATGGGCTACCTAAGTAATGCAGGAGTAATCTGTAAAATTATGGAATGGAATGGAAATTTCATTCTATTAATTATTCTTATTCTATAATAATTATAGAATAGAATAATTCTATGCTATTAATATATTATAATTATATATCATTTATATATTATATTTAAAATATTTACTTTTTATGTTGTATATTATATATTAGGTTAAAGTGTTTTATAAGTATATGAATTACGTATTTCATATAAATATATGACACTTTTTAGTGTATATAATTAATTTAATTATATGTTAATACTGTATATTTTTATAATTTTATCATATATAGAATGTATGGTAGTAGGTATTAATGTGTCATTCTGAGCTGTACAGCTTCTCCAAGGTACTGAACATTACACAACACCCATAGATGCACCCCCTACATCTGAAGTCCTTCTGTGTTATTCTGTAATCATGTGTATTATTGTCTCTATCGTTGTATTTTTCAAGCTACTGGATGCCAAAATTTCCTTTGGGAATTAATAAAGTATCCATCTATCTCTAAATATGACAAGTCATATTTTTTGTTTTAGGTCAAGCCATGTTCCATTGTTTATCCGGATGAACCCGTTGCATAATGACTGGAGCTATTCTGGGCTGAAGGGCCTTATTCCATCCGTCCTGCACTATAGTCTTCTGGGATATGACTTCTTCATTCCTGATGCAGTAGGTAATACCCTGGTTTAACCACAAATCTTCAGCAGTCCTGTCATAGGAAGCCCCGCGTGCAGATCTTCTATCAGCAGCTACTGATCATTTTAATGGGCTTTTTTTTTCATACGGCTGTATCCAATCCAAGTGCAGCAAAAAATCTTACTCTAAAGATACCAATAAAAGTGCATTGAAAAAGTTCAGAGATCCTAGTGTGAAGTTAGTAGGTTTAATAATTCGCAATTAGAAGTCCGAATCATCAACAAACAGAGTCTAAAGACAGGCAAGAGTTCAGAAACCAGTACAAGTGCAGCAAGTCACTGGTTCACCAATGAGAGTGCTCAGACGCTCACATAGCTCTTACTTCAGAGAGATGATTATCGTTTAGTTTAAACAGGGGCTGTGCTACTGGTCAGTTTAGTAATCAGTTAAAATGGGTGTGGTTTTGTTGGGTCTGGTTGCAGGGATTCTGATGAATCAGGCTGGGTTGAATTGACTGGAGAATGGGTAAATTATTATGTGCGTGGTAGCTACTAGCCATATCATTGACAGAATATTCTTTCTTTTGACTGGATAAAAGGCTCTGGATGACCGCATATTGACTGGATGACAGGTGAAGCATCCTTGAGTTCTGGAAAAAAAGAGGACGTTCTCAAATATTCTGAATTCCAGTAATGGAACACAACCGACAAGCCTTAAATATTCCTCAGCTCCCAGACAAGCTTTTACTTTGATGTTGAGAAAACACAAAGATGTCAGGGGTGCGGCAAATAAATTGTATAAACCTGTAAATTTTTGTAAGATCATTTTTTTTTTCCATGTTCGTAATTTACGAGCATGACTGTGTTGGTAATTGAAATTCTCCGAATGCACATATTGTCTTTGGCAATGTTTACTGTCTTTCTGTTCAGTCTCAGCGATCTACTTGTCTCCACCTAGTTAACTTTCCTTACTTTTTTGCAGGAGGTTCCTTGTCAAGAAATCTTTTCACAGATGAGGAGCTCTTCATCCGTTGGCTGGAAATTGCCTCATTTCTCCCCACCATCACTTTCCAGATTCCACCATGGGTGTATGGAGACAACCAGGTGAGGAGCCCAAACTGCAGCATCGACGTTTAGTTATCAAAGTCCTGTATGTGGGACAAACTTCACAAACATCACAAACTCCATGTGCTATTGCACATAAGAACTCTGTACAGGCCAGGCTGTTCAGATTCAAAATGCACCGTTACCCTAATAAAAAGGAAGTATCGATAACACTTTAGCAATGATTTTAGTAATTTATAAACACATGCATAATGCATTGTAATGCATCCATAAAGCATTATAAATAATTATAAAAAGGCATAACACATTACAGCTGTGTATATTATGCATTGTGAATGCCTTATGAAGCTCTTATTTATAATGCACTATAGATACCTTCATAATGCAGTACAAAACATCCTTAATGCTTATACCGACCATTATAATGCATTATGAAGGTAGTGCATTATAATACACATGGCTATAATGTGTTATGCCTTTTTCTAAATATTGGCATGTTTATAATGCTGTATGAATGCATTATAATGCATTATGAATGTGTTTATAAATTACTAAAAGCATGGCCTTAAGTAAAGTGTTACCTATTTTTGTGTGAAATGAAAAGCTCAGTCATCACATTTTGAGTTTTAAAAGAAAAAGTTAATAAATGCATGCAAGCAGAAATTAGGAGAACTATTCTATTTTAAGATATTGATATGTTTAACTTTGTGGAAGACAGCTCACGTTTCTAAGTAAAGCAAAGTATCTTCTAGGGTTCAATTTTTCCAGCCCATTCGAGAGAAATTGCTTGGCCCGCAACCAGTATCACCTGTGGTTAAGCCCCCATATGTTCTGCATTAGGTTTTGTTTTAAATTTACGATCGTCAATCTTGGGAATAATGAAAGCCACTCGGGCTGGAATGATAATGAATTTAAGAATATCCCCTGGAAAAAAAAGACTTCATTACGACAATTAAGATTTCCATTATTAAACTGATAAGACAAGATAAATAAAGATCCACATCTCCACAACTGGAATAGTTGCCTGTTACCTGTAGATTAAAACGGATACATTTAGACGTAGTAAATGAATGGTATAGTCGAAGGTGTTTATTCTTCAGTAGGCTGTATTTTGAGAATTGCTCGATCGCCCATTTTCCCCAAAACAGGTATATTTGGGCCCAGTTTGCAAAAATGAAGTGCGTGTGACCTTTAATTATTCCAGAAACACAAGGGTACCCTTAATTCATGCAAGCAACACCCTCAGGGACTGCTAAATCACACCGCGTCCAAACAGAAATATGAACCAGAATTCTAACCACATGCCTGCTTTCTCAATTACAAATCAGTCAAACTCAGGTTTCAAAATATTTTTTTTTTCTTAAAATACTTTTTTTTAATGAATGTGGTTAATGTATTTTCCTCTAAAAGGGGATGGAGAGGATGTTAAGTTTGGGAAATAATCCTTTTCTGTGTGCCAGAGAAATTCCAAGAAGACAAGACAAGTAATGTAAATGGTGTCAAACCGTGATTTTAAAGATATTTTTTTTTGTAAGCCTGGAAAATGAATTTCTTTGAAAGGGAGCAGCGTAGGTCTTGCCATTGCTTTCAGGAGATATTATATAAATATCAAGAGAATGACGACTTAAAGGAATTTAAAACTAATACTCTTTTCAAGATACTTGAACAGCACGAGTCACACAGTCCCTGTATTTTACCCCCTAATTAAAATGCTTTGGTTTTTTTTTTACCCTCTGATCTGCAATGCCGGTGGAAATCGGATGGGCAGCACTGGGCTGGCTTTGTGACTGAGGGGCCTCATCTCTCGGCGGGTCACGGTGAACGGCTGAACTAACCAGAGAAGCCAGTCATGCGGCCAGGGAGAGAGCAGCGGAGCTCGGGGCCCCAGCTTATATTTCCGGGGGCACGGGCACGATTGGAACTGCAGCGTCTGCCAGAGAGGGGCTATTTTTTGCCCCTACCGGTAATGCATCAGGGGTATACTAGATTCAGGGCTTTCTGGCGGTGCAAGCCCTCCCCCCCCCCTCCCTCAAAGAGGGTGCAGAGAACAAAACCCGAGGCAGCTGGGTGTGGGGGGCAGGTTTCCCCCGAGATCGCGTGCAACTCCGGAACCCCCAAATAAGGCAGGAAGTGGAGCGCGGCCAAGGCCGCCATGACAGAGCTGAGCCCTCCTGTCTCACCCCGGGACGCGTTTTAGGCGCCGGGTCTTGAGCACGTGTGATGCTGCGTGGAGATGTTGAAAGTCGGGAATCTGTAAAGCACGCTAAGGAGGTATCCCCCCGTGAATTTTCTTTGCCCGGATGCCAAAGCCATGACCTTTGAAATTGGCCTGGAGGGTGGATGAGTGAATGGTTCCTGTAGCAGCTCATGTGTCACGCGCTGTGAGGTATTAAATCTAAGGACACTGTGTGACCTGCTCCCTTCCTGTTGGGCTGGCCCCGTGTGTCTCTGTGCGCCTGCATATACACAGTCTTGTCACTAGGTGGCTTTGTAGTCAGTTTGCTGCTGACCTCTAGAAGTCTTCCAGGGGCCGTCCCTGAGTTCCTGGCCTGTCCTACTTTGTGTCTTTAGTTACCTACCACATATGTTATGCTTTCTTTCTCCTCGTGTTTGCAGCTGGGGAGCCGTGTAAAATACAGATTTACTGCAAATTCGAGACTTTTTACTCACCTGTGTCACGTGAAACACATTGCAAGATCAATTACAATGAAATAAAGTTTTTGGTCGAATTTTCCTGCCTGTAGGTCCTGAACCTCACGAGAGTTTACATAGCCAAGCATCAAGCCTTCGTCGTGCCTCTCATAGTGAAATACGCCAAAAAGTGGAAGGAGCAGCAAAGCCCGATATACAGGCCTCTCTGGTGGATCAGTCCCGATGACCCCATCACATTCACCATCGACGATGAGTTCCTCATTGGCGATGAGGTGAGTTCGTCTTTCACCTGCTAGGCATGGGGGAGTGGACAGGGGGTATTAAACAGTGTGTCAGAAACATTTCGGTTCTCACAGCGAAAGCTGAGAGCCACCCGGGACACCTCCGCAAAGTCTTGTAACTTTTTCATAATTTCATGCTGTGAGACTCGAACAGAAACATGGCGGTTTGGGTTTCAGCGTTCAGAGTTCAGGCCCAGCAGGAGCCCATAGCGACCGTGGCCTGTAACCAAGGGGAGTTTCCTGGCTGCACCCTGCTGTGGGTCAGACATACTCTTCTTGCTTTTTTGTCATCATTTGGGTCACATATTGCAGATGAAATTACAAGAAATTATTTTAAGGCGTCACCTTCTTCCTTTACAGGCACCTGCATTTGGCTGCAGGCAAAACATCGAAAAATGGAGAAATATGACTTTGTGTATCATTACTAAAATGTGACTGTTATCAAAACTGAACTGGTAGCTCAAACCTCTGAGCTGTGCGTGTTCTTTTCATAGGTACTCATCGCACCGGTGACGGAGAAAGGAGCTCTACATAGAAACATTTATCTGCCAGGGAACGGTTTGAAGTGGGAAGATCAAAACAACTCTCTTGTTTTCGACGGAGGGACGCTTCTAGAAAGCTATCCAGTTGGTCTTGAAGACGTCGCTGTCTTCATGCGAAGACATTCATGAAATGTATAGATCCGACTCTTTTTTTTTTTTTTTGTGATATTTTCCACTCTTGGTGTTCTGGTTGCACTTTGCAGCAAGACCACTGACAGTATCTCAAGACACAGTCTTGAGATTAAGTTAAAAAAATATTTTTATACTTGCACTTTACAAATTCAAGATTATTTCTTTACTCCAGTTTCTCCTTTTTTTAAACGGTATGATCGTCTTTCTTTGCTGTTAAGCATCCACAATGTGCAGAGACCTTTAGCGTTTACACTTGATCCATTTACAGTCTTTAAAGTCGAATAATTTCTAGTTCCACTCCAGTGGTGTTAGGAAACTGTTGTGTTTAATTTGCATAAGAAAGTAAGAGTTTTAGCTTTGTGAAAGACCAAAAAGAAGAAATTGATGATGTTTAAGTGGAAGAGGAGCCTGTAAATGCTTGTATTTGGACTTTGTACAAAAATCAAGTCTCTTGTCAGTTTTGCTCAAAGACTTTTACTTGAATTGTATGGACTGCTGTGTGTACAATTGAAAAGATGTACCTCAATTGCAGTACCACCCTACAGAACCATACACAGATTATCGATTGACACTTAATGTATGATTTCTCACTTAGACTCTCTTGAAGCACTTATTTATGAGAACTGAAGGACTTTATGAGCAATTTATGATCCTTATGCGGAAAGGCCATTTTGACCGTTAATAAGACCAGTCGAATATAACATGAGACGACCCATAAAAACACACTATCGCATTATACTCTAATCTGTTTTGTTCTTGGGAGAAGCAGAAGGAATGAAAACCGACACAAAGGTGTCGTCATGCTGCTGTGAAATTCGCCAGCCACTCGGTATGCAGAATTAATTATGACGTGTTTCTGCCATTTGCCCACAGGTATGACCACCACATCCAGCTCTTGTTATTTCCTGTTCACACCAACAGAAAGGCACCGCAGAGTAGGATGGTGTAGGACTGGGAGCCTGGCGATGCCAGCAAGCTGAACATGCTAAAAGGAATGCTGGGGGGGGAAGAGTTTAAGGATTTTTATAGATTAAGTGATGCAGGAATGGAGTAGAGTGCATGGCGTAACTTTCCAAACCCCTAAAGGCGGCACAAAAACCCCAAAGAACAAACATAACGTCAATTTTAAGCAGAACTTTCATTACTGTATGATTTATTGCTTTGGTCTCAGTTGTTAGTTGTTTTTAATAGGAGCCACAGAGTATGAAACCAAAGGCCTGTTATGACCCACGATTATGCCAGAACCACCATGAGGGGAACCTTATCATGTTTAAACTGCAGGAGCCACAACTGGGAGCCACAGCATCTCAAATGTGAAGAGGGAGGTTGGATGTGGAATTCATTGGCCAGGCTGTGTTCTATTCTAGCCCTGGTTCACGTCGTATAAATGGATTGTTTTCCTTCCGTCCCATTGCAAAGCGCGCCTTTTGGCACAGCGAGGACTCGCAAGGCTACATTATTTGCACATTGGCTCCTGCTTTTCGGAGGTTCGAGACAGATTGTGGAATGACGCCTTAACTCTACAGTTAGGTGCGGCAAGTAATCAGACTGAAATATACAGCTTAAACGTAACTGGCTGCTGAGAATACAGCTTGATATATTCATCACCCAATATATTAAATGTAAAGTATAAGCACCTTTTATATACTGAAACCTTGAATTATGTAATGTGCTGGATAATTGCTAACAATCATTCTTTGGAAGCATTTTTCTTATAAGACACCTGTGGTCTGTGATTGGACAAAGGCCTGTGTCTATATATCAGGCTTGCTGTGTCCTCATTTGCAAAGGTGGACAGTTAAGGTCTAGAAAGTAAAAATCCAGACCAAGAATTTGTTTCAACCAACCAGATGAGTACTCTATGATTGAGACTCCATCAATCCATCTATCGATACATTTTCTTAACTGCTTGTCCTGTTCTGGGTCATGGGGGGTTCAGAGCCTTTCCCAGAGGCTACAGACACAAGGGAGGGAACAACCCAGGATGGGGCACCAACCTGACTGTGACTCTTTATACTCAACTGGTTGGATAAAACAAAACCTTGGTCTGGATTTTTACTTTTTGGACCTCAACTATCCACCTCTGCTCATTTGTGACCATTTTGTTTTGTTTTGTTTTTTAACCTTCAGTCACTCAAGAAAAGTTACTCAAAATTTCAGTCACAAGATTTTTAAGTGCAAATACGATCAATATTATCTGATACGTTTGCCTCCTGGGACCTGAACTCAATGACTTAACTTTATGTGTATATGTTTACTTGATTTCTAGAACTCAGGTCTGGTAGATATAAACAATAACACAGATGTCTTACAACGTAATCCCACTTCAGCGTCTTAACCCCTTTCTGGGGAACAAAAACAAACAAAAGAATGAAGGCTTTGTATGTACATATGGTTCCTTAACCTGTAATTTCAAGCATAGTAGCAAAATGAATCTTGTGTTCCCAGGTGAGCTAAAGAGGAAGATTAATGTCTGTTGCCAGGGGGCAAATTGATCCCTTTCATCCACAGTTTATGGGTTCCATTCACTATGCCCAATTCAGGCTTTTTTCTTTTTTTATTAAAGATGACATAAAATTGACAAATTGCAATAAAATTCTACAATTGCAGACTGTTGTGTCCACCCTGTCCAACGTGCCATTATGGCACACTTCCCATTGCAACAGCAACAATGATGTAATCTGTAAATGCTCATGTCAAGTGAAAATAGAAAACATATATTCATCATTGTTACTATTAATTTTTATTTCATGGACATCAGTTCAACAAGCTCGTAGCTGAACATGCAGTACTGTGCAAAAGTCTTCAACAGTCAAAGAAAATTCTGAATGCCATTTATCTGGGTAGTAACTGTGTATCTGCTCTTGAAAAAAAGTACATTTAACATCATACTGTATGTAAATAAGCTGTAACACAATATAAAACAACAAGAACTTATTCTGTTCTCCAAAAGTTACTCATACCTTTTTTGATGACTAGAAAAACACATTTCCCCTCAGGCACCCCAGCCATTGCATGTATTTGTTACATTTTTACTACAAACTTACTGGTAAATTAGGCGTGTGAGTGACAAGTTCAAGAAATGCACGTGTGTATTGGACGGTAACAGCTAATACAGGGTAAAAGGTACATTTACCTACAGCTAGGGTACAACTGGCAGACCCTTGAGGGTACAGTCCCAGTGACAAGTAATTGTACCCTCAAAGGTACAAATTGGTACTTTTTTCCTGAGAGTGTATAATGATAGGCATAATGTCATAGTTTTATTGCAACATGAAAATAATTTAAACATAATTTTCTTGGAACGTGATTTTTTTGTACAGTATTTTATGTATCCATTTGTACGCCCTCTGTGTATCTGTCACCAAATATCTCCACCAATTCCCATTAAACCCAGTAAAACTTTACATGCAAGGTGATTTCTATCAGAAATCACACCCCCAGCATTTTCTACACCATCTTACCCAAGGTTCCCACCCTGCATCTGACGGACAAGCACAGCACACTGCAAACATGCATACATGCCATCATGTAGAACATAAACACCAAACCACATTCAGCATATTTTATATTTCATGATTTCAACTTTTATTTTTTAATAAAGATGCTGTAATGCTTACCTTGGAATGAGGAGTTTTATTTTGGGATGGAAGTTTGCAGATGAGTGTAATGCCAAGAGTGAAAGAGAGTAGAAAAAAGAAAAGGCAGCCATTACGGTGCATGGTTGGTGGGAAAACGAGATACACGGAACCTGAAAACGAGATACACGGAACCTGAAAACAAGATATAAGGAACCTGCAAGTGTGTTGGGTGTCATTAGGGCCGTGATTGAGAGCTGGAGTGGGAGAGAGAAAGAACATTCATATACAGACACTGTAGAGCAACACGCATCAGGGTGGGAAAGGAAAGGGACAGGCTTAGAAGGCCTTTTGACAGCCAGTTTCGCCTTCCCAGGATGAAAGGACAAGTGGCAGCCCCCCAAATACCCCCCACTAACACATTTATTATTATACGGCTGCAGAAAAAATTCAGAGACCACAGCACTATTTTCACTCATTTTTCAAGTGTGTCTGTGAATAATATATTTTTTATTGAAAACTGCCTCTTCCCTGTTTCTCATTAATGAAGGGCTTCTGTCTTGCTTTATGGGACTTCACTCCTGCTTCTAGGAACCTGATATGACCCGTCCTAGCAGGGCACTTCACACCTGCACCTAATGTTTCCCATTCCTTTTGAAGGTCACTTAATGGAATCCTGGTATTCATAAGAAACTGTTAAATTAACGGTCATCTCTGGCATTAGAAAGTTGCTTCCGCCCTTTACCTGGCTAGTTTCTGGTTGTTCCCAGTGTCTCCTGCTTCACCTTATTCCAGTGTACTGTTGTCTTAGAAATTTTGAATTTGGAAGCAACCTGCTGCTCAGCAAAGCCTCCTGCAGCACAACCATGGTTAAACACGATTAAAAATGCAGATTTGTTTAAAAATATAGTGGTCTCTTAATTTTTTCCACGGTTGTATATTATACAATTATTGGGCCGGGAAAGTTAACGTGTAGTGTTCAAGTCATAAGACATTATTGTTTCTTTGATTGCATTAACGAATGATTTAATGAAAATGGCAGAATAGTACGAGCAAAGATTATTAATAGAGGCCTTTAACATTCCCTCCAGGTTGTAAACAACATGGCACATTGAGTTCCAGAATTCACAGCTAAATTTAAAACATTCAGTTAGCATCTCATGATGAAGCTGGTGGTGTATATGTCACTTAGCTTCTTTTGTTTTAAAAAAAACTGCTAGATGGCTTAGAGAATAAAAATGCTGTATTTTGCAATATTTATTTAATTTTCTATGTGGTGGTGGGGATGGCTAAAATGAGGTTTTTTGACTTTTCAGTTAAGTGCACATTCAGTTGTAAGAAGTTTGCCAAGTAGGTTTTATATTTAGATGGGTTTTTTTGCTAAACATTCACCTTCTGTTTTGAGAGCGATGTAATTAAAAGAGAATAAAAAGTTTGGTGGTAGACACAGTGGAATGAAATGCATTCATATCATAGCTGCTTTATTTGATCCATGCAAGACTGATATAGACACAATTTATTTTTGTCTTTATTTTGACACTTCTGCCTGGAATATGTCAATTTCTATATTGATTATACAGACTATAAAATCTTTTTGGGATGGTATTGCAACATGATTCTATATGCAATTAATCACCAAGACATGCGATTAATCATGATAAAAAAAATAATCGCTTGACAACCCTAATGCAATGGCCATCTGTTAATCTAGCCCTTTTGAAATTGAGCTTGTACTTGGATGCAAGAAAATATTTTTGTTATATATTATTAGATGAACTGTTCAGCTTTGGGCGGCATTATGCACTCTAAAAAATCCTGGGTTACTTTTTCTATGCGAACAATGGGTTCGGTTTGCTGGGTTAATTTTGCTGAGCTATTTTCAATCCAAGTACCCAGTCAGGATACGTTAGGTGAATGCTAGCAGTACCCAATGTCCTGGGAAGCTATTCTCTGGCGCACTACATTAAAAAAAAAATCTGCGTCAGAACCATTGGAGGACAAGCACCCAAACATCCCTCAAAGAGCTGATGGGGTGAAATTTTAGCTAGAATATATATATAATAAAATATTAACAATAATAATGTTCATTTTAATTTTATTTTAAGTCCCTCAATTTTAATTTAGCTCCCCCTTTGAGGGATAATGTTGTAATGCTGTTGTAATGCTGTATTTCGTGTCATGTTGGCTAGCTAACGTCAGTTAGCTAAGTAGCTAGTTGACCGCTAGCTAAGTAAGGGTTAACATATTGTTAGCGGGTAATTATTGTGGAATAACTCTGATATATATTGTATACCACACTGTATTGTCTGTACGATAAGAAAATTAAATATAGCCCAAGCTGAGTTCATGCTTACAGTCCATGGATGGTTGTGTGTGTGTAATCTTGTGTTCATACTACATTTTTCCATGGATTCAGGTAGTCTTAGTCAATGCCTGCATACAGTAGTGATATTCAATCAGGGAGGAATGGCCAGATAGATGTATTGCAACAAACACAAATCCAAGCAATGTTTTGAAACGGGTAAACTTTTTTGAACAGTACTGAAGTTGTTACTAGGCTTGGGCGGTATTAGGATAAACAGCATACCACAGTATTTTGAAATCCTTTTAACGAAATTAGTTGCCCGGCCCTCCTGGAGAATTTTCTTGCCAAGATTTCAATATGCTGGACAGCTTTTGCTTTTGAAAATAATATATACCGCGGTATAATGTACAAAAAATTACATATACAGATACCTCCACATTCCCTACAACAATTCTTGAGTTCAATCTTGGGTGACCTCTGCTCCATGAAAGTCAGTGCTGCCACCTACTGGAAATACACGGACATTTTCTGGGCATATGCATAGTCGCCAGAGCGGATGCATATAATCTCCGCCGTATGTAAAAATCTGGGCTACACTTATACTGTCCGGTGGAAACCCGTGAAGACGAAATTACATATAATATGGCTAGTTGAAGGTGAAATATTAATTCAATATTTTTTTCCAATAAATATCCAATCAATAACACGAATCTACTAAATTTTGTGGAAAAATACAAACATTTTCTGTGAAACGGAAAATATTCAGAGCATTATTTGTTCTTGGTTGATTTCCAGGACTACTGACAGTATACTGGAAGTCGTATCTACTACTGCAAATAAGGTGACAGGTCAGACTCCTTCCTCAGACGGCCTGATGGGGGCTGAAGCTTCAGATGCACAATATATACATGCAGCTTCTCTGCAAACCAGGGGTCTCCAACTCCGGCCCTGGAGAGCTACTATCCAGGAGGTTTTCTGTCCCACTTGGCTTCTGATGAGCCACACCTGTTCCTGGTATTTACCTGAGAAGGT